CCCCAAAACCCCAAAACCCCAAAACCCCTCAACCTCATTTTATATTGCAAATAGAAGATAAATATATAATTAAATTAATCAATCATAAGGAATAATGGCCGGTGGCGGTGGACTTAAAAAGAAGGTTATCAACTACGTTCTCGACAACCCAGTAAAGGTATACATTGGTGGTGCAGCTTTTGTCTATGCCCTTAGATAATACTCAACAATTACTGCTTACAATAAATACTTTGGCAAATATGATTTCCAAAGAAAAGTTGAAAGAGGAGAGCTCCACTGAGTATGATCACACCCCATATGTCTTGATAACTTGTGAGAGAGTAGGGATATTCTCTGCAACAGCTTATTTAATTTAATAAAATTTAAATCGAAATGACACACTTAACTCAAAAGTCTTAAGACTCTTACAAAATTACAATCAAACTTAAGTTAGGCAAAAATTTCAATTATTCTATTGCTCTTGATTTTCTTATTCAGATTGCTCTTGCTACTTTTTGTTCTTTTTATTCTTTTTTGACTTTCTCTATTTCTTCTTCTTACCTTCTTCTTCTTCCTCTTACTTTTTCTCTTTATCACTCTCATCAGCTGATTAATCTTTTCTCTTGGTTTCTACTGTCTGCTTTTACTCCTCCTTCAATTTATTAATCTCATTTTCATACTGCTTATTTTTATCTTCAGATTGCAAAAGTTGCTATCTTATCTAATCCAACTCCAGTTGCAGAGTAAGATTTTCCTCGCTGAGTTCAAATATCCTTTTATCCTTTTCTTAACCCTCCAATTCATTATTTTCACTCTTTTGCTTATACTATTCGATCTATGATTTAAATTCCTCATTTTGCTGATTGATCAAAGTTTAGCGCTCTGTTAATTCTTAGTTTTGAGCTTCAACTTATTTTTTAGAATCTTTCAAATCTGAGATTTAGTTTTCTATCTCACCAAGTTTATTTCTAAGCGAATCTAAGGATTGGCTTTAGTTTGAATTAAATATTATCTATTAGATTTCACTTATGATTGCATCTATTTGAGATTCTAGCTTGCGTTATTTTTCTTAAACTTGCTCAATCAGCTGTTGAGTCATAGGATCTTAAGGCTATTCTGTTTCCTATTTTATATCTTCGACCAATGATGCTCTTTCATTATTGTTTAAGGAGCCTACCTCCTAGAGCTCTTTCATCTGAGATTCAATTCTTAGTAGATTATCATCGATAGATCTTCTTATATTTATAACTGTGCTAGTTTATTCACTGAATTGACGCTTTATCTTATCTATTTTCTCATTCATAACTTTAGACTTCAATTTATAGATACTGAATACATCTGCGCTTTTCCCAATTTTCTGCTTTTCTTTGACGAAATCTTCAATTAAATCTTCTTCTCTGTTTAAGTCAATCTTAGATTCAATCTCTTTTAATAAGTCTTTTTCAGTTAAATCTCCAACGTCTTTCACTTGCTTGAACAATGCATTCTTCTAGTCATAGTACCCCTCAGAGACGTTCGAGTCAATTCCTAAATTTCCTTGTGCTTTAAGCTCTAAAATTTGAACTTTGTCATTGACTTTGGTGAACACATCTTTCAATACTTTATATTTCTCACTAGGCTCAAGTTCTTTGAGAGTGTTATCCTTATCTGATTGCTTAAACTATACTTTCTAGTCGACTGGCTGCTATTCAAGTCTTCCTTTGTTGATTAAGATAAAATCTAGGAACTCAAGATAAAGTCCAATGCGCTCATTAGTTTGATGATATACTTCATTCACTTCTTCCTAGAGATTTTTCCATTTCCTAAGCTCTTAAAGCTTCTTTTCATTTGATCTGTTAGTCCCTAAAAGATCTGAAGTTACTGGCAATACCATGGTAGCTCTTTTATTTAGCATGATCAGTAATATGTATGAGTGAAGTTTCCCTCAAGTAATAAAGGTTTGTTCTGATTAATCAATCAAATTATAAATTCTATCTTAATTTTTATAATACTTGCAAATATTAATAACACTCTAAAGCAGCAAAATTAGAAGCAAATATGGATAAATACGTTTAAGTTAAAAAACCTTAACTCCCATAGTCATGCTTAGATGACATCAGGATAACTAAAAAAACTCCAGTGAAAAACTATGTAAAGTTTATCTTGAAGAAGTTTAATGAAGAAGGGGAAACTTCAGTGAGAATTAGAGCAATGGGAGATGCAACTAATAAAATGGCTTCAATAATTTAGATAGTAAGAAGCAAGAAGAAGTACTTATATACTCTAATGAACATTGACTCAGCAATATTAGAAGATATTTTTGAACCATTAGAAGAAGGTCTTGATACTTTGGTGTTTCAAAGACGTGTAGCTTAGTTGACAGTAACATTGAGTAAAACAAAACCTGAAGATGTAGAGATTCCAGGGCTCCTTGATGAACCTGAGCCTTACGTTGAGTCATCCTCCCTTGTTGAATAAAGTGAGGCAGAAAATAATGAAGAAGAAAATCAAGAAGGATTCAGAGGCCGAGGAGGATTTAGAGGCAGAGGAGGTTTTCGTGGATTCAGAGGAGGTTTTAGAGGAGGCTTTAGAGGTGGCTTTAGAGGAGGTTTCAGAGGAGGCAGAAATGGAAGAAATTATAGACATGTAAGAGGCGGTTATAGAGGTGGATAAGTATAGGAAGAACCATAGAGAGGTGGAGTCCACCCATAAAGAAGAAATAGACCTGGACCTAGAGAATAAAGAGCTAGATAGGAACAAAGATAGCAAGACATTAGAAACCAGGAAGAATGGGATAACTAAGAGTGATGTAGCTTAATATATCTGGAATGTAAATCAACAAATAGAATTTGATAGTTAATTAATTATCAAAATAAAGGCAACCTCATATATTATTTATTATATTGGATGATGGGGTTTTGGGGTTTTGGGGTTTTGGGG